ATAGATAGATAGATAGATAGATAGATAGATAGATAGATAGATAGATATTAGTATTTAAGCAAACAGAAACCCGGTTAGTAGCACCATTGTCCACACTGTGCATAGGTATTTTTAAAATATCTGCAACGTACAATCCTATTACACAAACTGAGTTCTTGGGCCTGAAGAGAAATCGTCTGCCTGCTTCCAGCTTCCTGTCTGGCGGTGAGACGGAGGCAGGTTGGCCGGGTCAGGCGCTACCTGTGCCCGGGAGGGGGCGGGCGGAGAGGCAGACCTGCCGGGCAGGAAACTCCCTGGTTTTCACCGTGGCCTCGAAAGCCCCCGCCACCCCCACCTACCCCCTCAACCCCCCCACACCTACCCTCCAACTCTTGTCTTCCCTCTGGCACAGAAAGTCTCGGCGCCGCTAGTTTTAAAAGCACGGACGACGGTTCGAAAACTTGTGCTGGCTGTTTTTGGTTACTGTTTTTGTTTTTCGAACAGAGGGAGCCGTGACGTGTATCCGTCCGCCGCAGGTCAGCAGCTGAGCCGCGGTGCGGTGCGGTGCACCGGCCGGCTGTTTCTGGCCATGCCAGAGAAGTTGAAAGTCGTTTGCCTTTCATACAGGCAGGTGAGACTAGCAGGGCGTGTTCCCCGCTGTCGTTTCTGGCAACAAATAAATAAATTAAAACAAAAAAATAGTGCTCATTAAGTCGTAACGCCGAACTGTGCCGTCCACGGCCGGACGCGCAATTCTGCGTGTGTTTGGGTTTTTGTGGAGCGTCCGGAATAAATGCTGAGGGGGGGGGGATCCGAACCGGTACGCCTGAGCTCCGCACTACAAGTGAGTCCGCACGCCCTAAACATCTGCAAGGATCCACATGCCTCCGTCTCCGGGCCCCATTAAAAGCCCAAACTCACCCTTTCTCGGTGGCGATATCATCCCACGAGTTGATCATTTATCCCGAGGGTCGTGGAGCGCTTTCTGCCCCCGCGGCGCGGTGGGAAAAGCTGCAGCAGGAAGCCGTGCACGAATCACCCTGGCAGTCAGGAATTTCACAAGGGGGGGGGCAGAGCTTCCTCGGCATGAAGGCGTGTGCAGTACGGGATATTGGCGCTAGAGGGAGGGTGTGTGTGTGTGTGTGTGTGGGTGGGTGTGTGGTGGGGGGGGTTCAACATCATACTGAGACCACCAGCCTACCACTGACAAAATTACAAATGCCAGAGGATGCTGCACCATCACAGGACTGGGCGTTCCGCGCCTCTCCGTTTCTCCATCCCTTCTTCTTGTCTGGAATTGGGACGGTTATGGCAATCCATAAAACATTTGAGAGGAAATCAGGCTCTCCTCGGTTTAGAGAAAGGCGGCGGTTGCAGGGTATGTTTAAAAGAGAGGATGCATTGATGTTTTCTGACAGGAGTTCCCTCAACCAGGAAAAGTTTATGTCACAGCCGGT